TCTCTCTCTCTCTCTCTCTCTCTCTCTCTCTCTCTCTCTCTGTGTTATCTAGCATTTAGTGCCTGACCACAGAGTACAGGCGCTAGGCAGGGCGGTTCATCTGTGGCACTAACTGGTCACATGTGAATTGCCCCTGTGATGAATCAGGGTGGCTGTTTGGGCCAGCAGTTCTAATCTGTTTTTAAACTGAACATTTATTAGATTGACCCGCTATTAAAGGTCTGTGTTATTCTTCCTCCTGGAAAGTTAATTATTCACATTTTAAAATTAGAACAAAGGGTAGATTATCGTCACTTCCTCCTGTGGCTATTTGTTTAAAATGGCCAAGCTGAAACTTCTAGGTAGAATTACTTCAGTTACGAGTTTTCATTTGCAATCCAGAGCCGATGTAGTGGCTCAAAGCTGGATTTGTGACTGAGTGCTTTGCTTTTATGTGGTAAAGCTAAGCAAACCGTTAGGAGGGGTCAGGGGTGAGCCTGACCTTGTGGTGATGGGAGTCGTCAGCCCTTGTGGTCTTCACTGGCTGGGGGAATGAAGCCAGAGACTACGGCCTCCCGGCAGAGACTGGGCTGTGTGTGAGCAGGTTACTGCAGAACCGCAATGATGGGGATGGGGGGTGGGGTGGGGGGAAGTGAGGGGGTGGGAGGAGGGGGAAGCTGGGCCAGATAATGTCACAGATCTCAGTTCTCAAACCTGGGACAAGCCGGCTGAGGTGCCTATTTTAATGTATCGAAGTGGACCTGGCCATCAGGTTCTCCCAGAATTCCTCAGTCCCCATCTGTTACAGGGTATGGCTGGCACACCCCTCTCTACCCTTCCCTATATAACCCAGCCCTTTTGTCTACCCTGTATTCTCCTGGCTCTCCCCTCCCTCCTCCTTCTCCCCTTCTCTTCACATGGCCCAGAAATATATAAATAGGTGTTTCTGGTGCCGAGGACTGAACCCTGGGCCTTGTGCATGGTGTGCAAGTGCTCTGGCAATGAACCATATCCCCAGCCCAAACTAACCATTGTTAAAGTGAAAACTCAATAGCATTTGGTTTTCCTAATTTCCACATTATCCTAACCACCACTTCCTTCCAGTTCCCTAAAACAAAGGCCCAGGCTCACTAAGCTGTCATTCCCCGTTATTCCCTTTAACATCCTTACCCTCAGCTCCCTGCAACTCCCAGTCTGCTTCCAGTTATTCTGGATTTACCCGCTTTGGATATGTCAGATAAGTGGGATCATGCAACACAACCTCTTATATTTGACCTTTTTTGTTTAGTATATTTTGAGGTTTATCCATGTTGTAGCATACATCACTACTTCATTCCTTTTTTATGGCCAAGTAATATTCCATGGTATAGATATACCACAGTATGTTTATCCATTTACCCATTGAAATACCACTTCACCTTACTGCTTTTAAGGTATAAGAATTTGAACTTTTCTATCTCCTCACCAACACTTGTTTTCCTTTAAAAAAAACAAAACAAAATTCAACTTTCCTACATGACGTACAGTAGTATTTCACTGTGGCTTTGGTTTGCATTTCCCTAATGACTAATGATGTTGAATATTGTGATGGCTGATTTCAGCTGTCAACTTGGCAGGATCTGGAGTCATCTGGGAAGGGAGTCTCAATGAGGGATTGTTTAGATTAGCTTGGCCTGTGGGCATGTCTGTGAGGGATTGTCTTCATTGGGTCAACTGAGGTAAGTAAACTCACCTGGAATATGGATGGCATCAGTTCTGGGGCTGGGCTCTGCATGGAATGAAAAGGAGAGAGTGAGCTGAACATGGACATGCATCGAGATCTGCTTCCTGGCTGTGGAGGAAATGACTGTCAGCCGAGTACATCTTTTCTTCTTTCAGTTGATGTCATGAAACTATTTTATCACAGGAAAAGAAACTAAGTCAGAAGTCCATATTGAGCCGTGGGGCTGCTAGGGTGAGGAACCTGAACATGTGATTCTTTGGCTTCTCAAAATGTTTTGTACCTGAAATGTGGAGGAGCTTGTTTGATGGGAAGAGCCAGAAAAGCCCCAGTGTGGCCGAGCAGAGCTTGAGAGAGGTGCGGAGAGAAAAGCAGACTGCCACCTAGCTGGTGACTTTTCAGAGGGGACGAGGACTTTCCCAGAAAATGGGCCAGGGGCCATTTGTGCCATGTGGCCCAGACTATGGCTTCACTGTGTTCCCGTCTTGAGAAGCAGAGCAAAGATGAATTTAGAGATGATGGATTGATTTGCCGGGACCTTTCCAGGCAGGATGGTTTTCAGGCTGGTGAAGAGGGAGCCGCTGTAACTGAGAAATCGATCTGCACCGTCATAGAGGGAGTCTCCTGCGCGGCATCGGAGAATGGAAACAGTGTCCTGAGGGCAAAGCTGCACACGTTAGAGGCTCCATCTCAAGCTGCCAGCAGAACTCGGCAGCATGGTCCATGGGCAGCTGTTTCTGGAGATGTGGAAGATACAGGATCAAAGAGGTTGCGTGCTTCGGGCCAATGAGAGCTAGGATGAGCCTGTCAGAAGGGACACATACTTTTCCACTCGCACTTGATTTTGGACACCAAGCATCCCCAGCCATACAAACTGACAGGGTTCTACGGTTTGCTTTCCAAACTCAGGCAGGTGCTTACTCCAGTAAGCCTTGGGTTCTTGCTGCTGGGAGGTAGGAACTCCGGCTGACAAGATGGCTCAGTGGGCAAAGGGGCTTGCAGCTGAGGTTAGGACCTGAATTTAGCCCCCTGGATCTGCGTGGTAGAGGTAGAAAGCCAGCTCCAAAAGGCTGTTCTCTGACTTCCACCCACATACATGAGAGTACATGTGCATCTCCATCAATAAATACATTATATATACATATATAATTAAATATATAAATAAGTAAATTATACACACACACATATATTTAAAGGTAAGAACTTACTCTGACTTCAAAATGTGTGGAGGCCAGGCTTTAGGAATTTATTAGATTAAATAGTAATAATATTAGATAAATAAAAATAATATCTATTTAAAATAATAAGTATATAATAATAATAGGTAAATATAAATAATAACTAATCATGACAGAGACAACCCCTGTCGTGAAGAAACCAGCAGGGGCCCCCCACTATAGCCTGGGCCATGCCTAGTCTCCCAGACTGTGAGCTAAATAAACCTCTTTTCCTTTTAAGGTAGCCGGCCTCAGGTACTTTGTTATATAATGAAAAGAGACTAACAGACAGATCTTACTCCAGACTCTGTTCTTATGATTTTTGGAGGAAACATTCCAAAAACATTAAAATGAGGTCTGAAAATTCAGGCGGGGTGACCCGCTCATGGTGGGAAGCGAAAAGGAAAAATCCCCTGGTAGTGAGTAACTCCACTCAGTAGTAAGTCAGATCAGGCCAAATTATTAAGGCCAGGTTTAATCACAGCAGAGCATTCCTGGGTGGTCCCAGGGGAAGGGGAGAAACCACCAGGGAAAACCACAAGGGGAAGTCTGTGGATGACCTTAAATACCCTCCCAGAGTGGAGCCTCTGCTTTCTCGGGGCAGGGTCTAGGGAGAGAGAGAGAGGTAGGGCTCCACCTTCGAGCTTCCACCTAAACATCCCAGACTCCTTGGGTATAGGGCTCATTGCCTCTGTAGAAACCTTTTGTGAGTCCGTTGCCTTTTCCGGGGACCACTGAAGTGGATCCCAGCCAACCGATTCTGCTGAAGTTACAGCAAGTTTTAGCTAGTAGTTCCCTTCGGTATTTCAGCAGCTCAGTGAGGAAGAACGGGAGAAGCCAAGGGAAGCAGAGGATCGGGGAAAGAGCCGCGGGGTAAGGTGAGTAAGTGGGGTGGTGAGCGGGGCGGGAAGAGAGATGTGGTGGCCCCTTGATGTCCTCCTGTGGGTGTGACCACTGGTTTGCTGAGTGGGTGTTACACAGGCGCTCAGGCAGTCTCTTCTGAGGGGACCACCATTCTAGAGCGGACCTCAGGAAGGGGTAGGACAGGAGACAGGACACTCTCGCCATTAAACCAGAAGCAGTCTGCACCGTGTGTCCCCAACTTCCAGGAGGGCGAGAACCGCCTCTAACAGCTGCTCGGGGTGTAGCCCCTCCATCCGCTGCATCCAAACCTCTAGGCAAGCCGTGTTTATAGGAAATGCTGGAGACAGAATTCCACAGAGAAACAGCAGAGACAACGTCTGCCTCCTCCTGCCTTCTCTGCCTTCTGGCGAGTCCTGCAGACATTTCTCAGCTGGTGCTGAGGGACCC